TCAAAGATGACGTTTCAAGTTGAGCTTGGCCAAACATGTACGAAAACCGTTCAGCCTCATCAATCGGTATCCGTGATAGAGGATTTGCGCACAGACAAATGTGCGCGCCACACACACGCAGCATGCGCCTGAATATTGGTGTATCAGGTTTCCTGTGGGATTCTGGTGTAATGCGCGTTACTGAAGCATCCCAATGGCACACAATGGTGGTCCATCGTTTTTCCGGATGTATGACACTTGTCCGGCTGAGATGAATCTCCTCAACATACCTCAAGATTCTCCTACTACTTCATCCTGACTGATAGTTTCGGAATCTTTGATGCATTGTATTTGTGTCTCAGAACTAAATACTCACAACGAACACAGTGCAGCACCATACTTTATGCCCCAACCCCATAAATTATTTCGCCGTTGTTCGTTGTTGGGCGTCGGACTGCCTACTATGCATTTGAATTGCGACACACAATCGCATTCGGGTTAACGATTTACTTTTATGCGAATCTCAATCATTCCTCCCATTAGGATTGCATGCACAGTGGAGATTTTTCGACGTTGCTGGCTCCTAACATACCCGCTTCAAAAACCACATCCATACTAACGTCCTCAACATCAGCCTGCTCATTATATAGTTAACCCAGATATCTGAATGGGCGATTGGATCCACAACTGCGAGTACTCGTTTTTGTTAGTTAGAAGCGATGATGTGTTGGCTTACTTCTTTGTGTTTTATGGGTGTGCAGCGCTCGGCTCCAGCGCACTCAAATGTTCTAGCTTAATACCAGATGCCTCTGACTCGAAGCTAGTTGTCGGTCGTTTACCTGTCAGAACGTTTGCTATATGGGAGTTGTATAGCACAAAGTCATCCGTTATCTCCTCGATCACAAGAGTAAAAACGAGTTATCGCAATCCTGACACATTTGAACCGTCTAAGCAAACTCAGTGCGGAGTTCCCCTCTGACTCTTACGTCACTCCGGGTGGCTTACACAGCACTCAACGCCCAGGACTTCTGTCAACTCTGTGTAAAAAGCGCATCGTAAAACTAACTTGACAAACTGTCACTTTTTGATTACTGACTTATCGTTGAGTCGCGGTCATGATCTAGCCGTTGGAGTGCATTGGAGCAGTAGTGATGACGCCCCAAATGTCATTGTTTTCCCATGTCACGGTGTTCCCTTTCGTCAATGGATATAATGGTTGCTGGCCGTCATCCTGGTGGTAGATCTTCCTCGCTTCATATAGTGATGAATTCGGCAATGTAGGCAAAGCCCCGTGAATTTCCACCATTTTTATGTCAAGAGTAGAAATCGTTGAGGCCCATTTATTGGCGTTACCACTGCCATAACTTGGTATTAGCTCGCCAGAAGCAAACCCACAAGGGTGATTGGCGGCCGGAACCGACCATTAAAAACGAATTATAGACTCTAGTAATTTTTTTGGCCACAAATATCCGACTAGGAATTGAAAATTGTTGATTATTTTACCCATCTTTGCAATTACTGTAACACCAATGGGCGAGGGCTTGAACCGCTTCCTTGCGCCTGTGACCTCCTTGGCGTCAGGATTTCCTTCGATCTAAAAGACCACCGATGCATTACCACAATGGTCTAAGCATGTGAGGCACTTTCCAGTTTTCGATCATAGTTGCGTGCAAACTAATGCTTACGTCAAATGGCAGATTTCCAACCGCAGGGATATTTTACATAGGCAAACACCATGTAGTGATGCTTAGGCTAATTCGCTAGTCCAACATCGGTTCGAGTACTTGCTGTTTATGTCCGGTTGTTGTTCACTTTAAAGTGCTTGATGTCGATTGTCGTATGTGGGATGGCACCATGTTGGATGGGGTTTAAAGCTGACTGGGCAGCGGAAAATGATATTGTTGACCACTAAACTGGATGCCGCCGACCCATCTCCTCTTCTTACCTTGGGTCAATGCCTTGTGCTTGATCCGAGGTTTTACAGAAAATGGCTCGCAGTCAGCATCTCCGTCGCGCTTTCTATCCTATCCTAGTCGGATTATCTGTCTTAAGCGTGCCGGCTGCAGAGTTATCCACGGAGCAGTGTAGACCGCAAGCAAGTTGACTCGTTAATGCAGTCTTCCCAAAATAGCCAGCTGTTTGTGACCGTGTATTGTTTGCAAGTTATAATCGCCTCCACCCTATATCTTTGCTTGGGCTATTTCAGTTTTATACTAGATCCCCCCACCCATTCCCCTCATATTATTCTCCCAGGTCTTTCTGGGTGTACAGCAGTTGAGCACAAATTGTAACCACCGGTGTGCTGTTGTTGTTTATGTTGTTAACGACACCGGTGTTAAAGCTCATCTTGCTTCCTTTCACCTTTGCATCTTTTAAGCGCGTTATCTTTGCCCCATTCTTTTCTTTAGGCTCGACTAATCGCCCAATCGGTTGGTCATGTCTTCCAATTGGCCTACCTGGATTTTCTGCGTGAGAACGGGGTGGAGGACTTGAGCTCTGTCAAGCACCTCAATTACGAGGATGTTGCTAACCAACAGGAGATTTTCTGCGACGAACTGTCACTATTCTCGGACAAAGAACGGCACAAACAGGTACATCTTTACTGGTTGTCCACTCATTGGTTTCTCCAGAGGTCACCCTTTACATATTGCTGCAAGAAGCGGCCGACTTTTAGTACGAGTCCCTCCTTCTGATTTGTAGATTACCATCCCGAAGCAATGTGGCGAACCACTAGGGGTTGTGATCGTGTCTTCCGGTTGGGGTAGCCTTTTGCCCACAGCTCTACTTGCCAACATGAACCCCACGGGACCTGCTTGTCGCAGCGGCCAGTTGAACATCGGCAATCACATCATCTCTGTCAATGGACAAAGCCTAGTTGGTTTGCCCTTGGAGAAGTGCCAACGGATTATTAAGGCAAGCTATGTTTTGCATAACGTCATGAACTCGGTTTTCACTTACCATGTACCTTTCCGCTCCGTGCACTTGGCTCAGGCATTGTTCACTTGACATCCGGAATCCCAAAAAATGCGATCTGTCACGGTCGCAGGATGCTGATTCTAATCATTCTCATACATTTGTTCTTTTCTCACCTTCTGGGTTTATGATGTGTTCCCCGAAACTACACCACAAATAAGCAACATTCGGGACACACCTTCGTTTTGCCAAATCTACCGCACCTGCTGAATCATTTGGGCTATAAACTTGTGAACATGCATTCCCTTGTTCACCTTCATCTTACATGCCCTCGTTGAAATTCTCCCTTTTCTTTGGCTCACAGGGGAGTCATGTAGTTCGTCTCGTGCGTGTGTGTGGTTACTTTCTCAAGCGGTTGTCAATCATGAGTTGGATTCGGGGGTTTGTGGTAGATCTGGTTCCGCGCAGTTATTCTGCCCGAGGAAAACAATGTGAGACGACTGTTTGGCTCCTTCGAATATACCAGGCGTAACACCCTAATCCATCTCTGTTCTAGACCAAGGGAAACCGCTTTCATCAGGTGCCTTCGTGCCATAGTCATTGACCAACATCTTGACCCACTTGCCACGCCATCCGCAACATCTCCCCTCCGTTTCTTGTCCTCAAAATTCATTTCTATGATCTGTGTCAATTTTGCTCTGTCGATCAGGTTTGCTTCGGACTTCGGTTTCCTATGGACTCAACTAATGTGACATAGTAATGCTACTATTGATTCATAGATAAGAAGAATAAGAAAACGAATAACACAATGACACAGACCGAAGTGATAAATACGAAAGTTGACGTGTGACTCTTTCATGCTTCTTCGCTCTTTGGTTCTGCTGCACCACCGATTTGGGAGCTCGAAGTCCGCTTCGACATGTGTTTTCCGTTCTAATATGCACAATGCCCCAACAGGACTGGGCAGACGCACCATCATAATCATGTAAGCAACCATTTTTTCACGGTCGTATCATCTAGGTGGTCACCGCATGCATCAGTAATGCACGTAAGGTCCCACAATGCCTCTGTCAGTTATGGAGCTGGCGAGTTGTGTGCATTTTTGCAATGGGAAAGGTATGTAACTGGGCAACTGGGTTACCGTGCCTCGATGCCCGGATCATGTGGGATCAGCGGGACCGATGTTGTGGTTTCTAGACGAAGGAAACAAACCAAGGGGAAGATCACCACTGATTTCCAGAATGTTGTAGATGATGCCTGACCAGTGCAATGCCGATTTCTGGTACCCCACACTTGAAGACGTCATGCTTCATCGCGACTTGTTGTTTCAGTTAGCTTTTTACTTCGTTCCCCCCTCTTCGAGTGGCCGTTTTCTTTTCACCCCATAGAAGGTAGCCTCGGTAAACCAGCACACCGTGACAGCTAGTTGATATTAATCTAAACAACCTGGTCTATCCATCATAGACACCTTGTGCTCTAAAGGGCATCCATTCTGTTATCAAACTTTTTTTCTAAGCACTGCGGGCTGATCCTCGCATTCTTCACTAACATCACTCTTCGGTCCCTTTAGTTAACACTGATTCGAACACCGAGTTGTGACGAATCCGGTTTCTCTTGTCCGCGTCACCATACTAATAATTTGCCATTGAGGAGCCGCTGAGAAAGCGAGTGTAAGCACCCGCAGTCTACGATTCGGCTGAATCTACGTATTTGTCGACAGAATAAAATCAGTCAGTGCTCAGTTACTGTCCTTATGTCACTCTTTTCCGGTCACCATCACCAACTATAAATATTATGAATAACTCGCCGTGTTGTTGGTTTGCTCCTCAAGTCACTCCATTTGGTTAACCAAAGTGACCTGACCTTTAGCGTTAGTTGAATAACCGCCGAAAGACGGCGAAAGCGTCGCACAGGTCTGTGCGACGCTCTCTATGCTCATCTTATATTTACTCTTCTTTACCTCCGTCAAGTACTAAGACTAGTATCAGATGCTACAAAGACCCTTTTATGGTCGAGGAACGAACTACTTCGGCGGGATTCCCGGCGGATGACCCACCAACCGATGCTAGTAGATGTTTCTCCCACTAGTTATCACCTTGATGTACACCACATAGGTTGGCACACACTACCGATGTTATCAACAGCTAGATCGGCCTTTTTTCGTCTAACCCGGAAAAGTGGAGTCACTTATACTTCACTCCTGTGTGCGTGCTACAACTTCACAACTACGACATAAACGTACGGATCGGACAGAAAGAAATCTTTCTATGAAAATATATAGCCTAATTGCGTGTGTGGACGAAGCTTGATTGGTTTCTTTAAGAATAAACGGGCATCCTGACAGAGGGAGAGAATTCTTCGAAGCATCATTCTCCATGATTTTTTAAGACTGTTAAACGCTCATAGGGAAGTGGATCAGTTGGCTTGATATCCGTCGGTGGCACTTAAACAGCTCGGCTCCACTGGAGCCAGCAAGACAGCTCGAGTAAACCTGTCCATCAAACCATACGTCTATTGCATCAATGTAGTTTTGACCTGCCCTATGAGAATGTATATTTCTCGACTGTGGGAGTTACACTCCAACGACTTGGACTGATTTTGACATTTATATGATCTCAAAGTGGACATGTTATTTCAGATATTCCGGTAGAGTTCAGCATCAGGTATATGGGGTGTTCGATTAGTATAAATGGTAAAATGAAGGCGAGTTTAAAAACTGGCTAATACTGATTATTGAAAATAGCACAATGGAATTCATACGGCTATCCGTGGAACCGACTCCTGGGTTATTCCCTCGAATGGTTTCATCCGCAGTTCATTTGACTTCGTGTCGGTGTAGCATAACAGCAAGCAAGCCATCATCATACTAGCTCCTTTTTATGGCCATTCTTATGTATAATAAGTAATGAGTAATAGGCTCGCAAAGATAACTGAGCTCTCATGTTTTCTTTTTTTAATACTATTTTAGGCCATTCAGCCCATTTCGGCTTCTGACTCAAGTCTGACACCTTTTCCACTTGACGAGTGTGTGCTAAGTTGCATTGATTAGGCACATTTTTGCTCACCAATAGGTCTGTGACAATTCGCCACATATGGGTGCATCAGATAATCCGGAAGCTTTATTCTCTCACCTCAGTTGATCGGCCCAGTCGTCGTCAACAGTGGAAAAAGAACTATAGCATTTGACGTAACGCAAATAATGATAAATGAGTGGTATATAACCGATAACCTTGCTTCAGATTTTAAATAGGGAATACATAGAAAAAATAAAACAAGGAATAAGCGGCTCTCTGAACGATTTTGAGATAGATCCAACGACTCCAGACAATCGAGTTGTAGAGCAATTGGTGTAGAAAGTGGACTTCACAAAGCATCAAGAACTGCCACAGGTGGTTGAGTTGTTTTCTCCGAAAAAGTGATAACAATTAGCACTGCGCAGCAAATGTAAAGTGAGCAAAGAAATGTAGTTTTGCATGGTGAATAACGAGATAACGTGACGACAAAATGGGATTAAGCTTAATGATTTAACGAAACGAGGAAGATATTGTTCAGACAGTTCGCACATATTATCGTGCAATTGTCCCTGTGTACCCATACTTTAACCCCTTCTTCATACATTACCTTCACTCTGGAGTCCTGTTTCATAAGTGCTTTGACTTGCAACACAAGGAGGCGCGCAACTAGCAATTTTCCAAACGATTGTTTAGACCCACATAGTCGCAATTCTGTGGGTAGTCTGTTCTAGATATCCGAGTACTTCGTCAGTTTAAACTTCCTGCGTATGCTTGTATTTGTGCTACTTGTGAGAAGCGAATTTCTCCTATTCCTAGTGTTATACCTTCCATGCTGAATAAAGCGCATATTAGTGTGTGGGGCAAATACTCGTTTGTGCACTAAGTCGGATAGAAACTTCAGGCCCAGTTACAACGTCCGTAACCACAACGGCTTTAATTTAAGCAGAATACAGCGCTCTGAATAGTTTGGTGTTGCTGATTCGGTAAATAGGGTCTTGGTGTATCGATGTTGCACATTCTCCAAGCAAAGACGATCGCGTTTCCGAAAATTAGTAAATATCATTGAACAGTATTCCAACGCAGATCTTGAAGATATTCAGCTTGGAATCATGCAATATCAATGATTTGCAGATTAACCGCGCTGTTTGGCGGGCTTTGGCTGCTATGAATTCGATCTGCTCCCCGAAATTGAGGGTGCTTGAATAATGTGTCGCGAAATGGAATTGGCTTTTCACAAAGGTATAGGGTGTCCATATCTATTTTGTATCGATATGCTAAGATCCCGCATTTATCCGCAACTAATGATATTTGCCAGTTGTTACACCATCTTCCGAGAGCTAATTAATCACTCCGTATGTTATTCAAAGTGTGTTCCAGATTTCTTGGATTGAAAGTATTCAGCACCTTTATGCCAGCTGCAAAATGGTTGGCTGTACCATTTTTACTAGTTTCTGATATGTCATTAATGTCAGAGGCATGGCGTAGGGGAGGGCGGTCCGCCCCGGGCGGCAGGTGACAGGGAGCGGCATTTTTATTACCGTCGATTTTTCCATACCAAATATATTGAGCAAAATATCCGAATAAGCTGGGGGTTGAAAATTTTCATGTTACTCCGCATGACCAATAATACTTTGCGCTACGTTTCATATCCGTGCAACGTTCTTCCCAACAATCCCTTTAGTTGTCTCATTGTGGTCACTTTCATCACATTTACTGCAGTGTCCCGAACGATCATCCATCACATCGAAAACAAAGATGGGCTTTATCATAAGCCCATTGTGTGACCTTCACGCGCCTATACTGCCCTCGGCCAGGGCGAAAATTTCAACCCCGCCTCGGGAGGCAAAAGTAGTTGCTGCGCCATTGATTAATGTATATCAAAAGTAGCAGTGAACCATGGACACTCCCTTGGATCACACCACTAGTAACAGGCAGCGATGATGATCTGTGGATACCTATTTACACTTGCGTGTGATCAGTAAGATATGATCTAAACCAAGCATGCAAAGGGTCTATGATGCCATATTGTGACATTTTCCATAGCAGGTGCCGTTGCGGCATTCTATAGAATGCCTATTT